CCTCGCTGCCAGAGCCGGGTGTGGTCGCTGGACCCGGCCACGGCAGACTCCGTCGGTGGCTCGGGCCAGACGCGGCCCGACAGCGTGCGCCGCGCGCCTCCTCTGCCCATGCTGTTGGATCAAGCGAAGGTGCCTCTCCTGGCCTGAGTCACATCCCGATACAGTGTGTTTTTGCGGCGGCCCGGAATCCATGCGAAGGACAGATCTAGCGCACATACGCGGCTGGCAACAAGACAGCTCGCGGTAGCGGGACGCAACCGCACCACATTACCTCCCCAAGCTATATCCGTAGCAGAATGAACGCATCAGCAACACGCCAACAAAGCGTGCTACCATCATGTGTGGATCCAAAAGTCTCTGAGGCTCTTTTTTAAAACAACAGTTCAGGCTAACCAATACCTTCAGGCCAGATATAAACCCTATATACCCCCCCCCCCCAACTTAGTTGGAAAAGTTGCATACCTCGCCAAAAAGCTATTGGCTCTTTCAAGCACATTAAGCGTGTCCTACCAGAACGCGGAGCGCAGGTGGTGCGCCACAATGTGACATTGGCCGCACGTGACCACCCGCATAGGTCCAGCAAACGCTCAATGCGCCAGCCCGGGCGTTCTGGCCTGCGAATACCGACACGAGGAGGCACTGGGCAGGCTTCGCCACGTCAGCCAGCGGAAATGAAATACGGCGTGGAATCAGGTGAGTGCTTATTGGAATTGCATCGAATGGAGATGAACTTAGCCCAAGGAGCATAAATTTAGTGGCCAGGTACATTTGTAGCATACTGGATCAACATGACAACAGCGTTCCGTCCTGCACTATCCTGTATTTCGAGCAACACGATTCAAGAGACATCCATTGAAGAACACAATGAACCAAAAGCATCCTAACAAGTCTCACGTGAAGTGGAATTCGCACGCAACTTCTTTGGTTTGGTTGGCTACCAGCCGCACTTAAAATATCAGTGTACGGGTTTACGCAGAATATCACCGAGGTCACCAGACACACAAGTGCAGCGATAGAATAAGGCGCAGATAACATGAGATAGTGACAGGGATGGAAGAGAAATTCTACGAGGTAAATGCGGTCAGGATCAACGCGAAATGATGCCGAGGTGACCGGGCATTACGGAAGCGAAGTAGCAGATCAGACAAAAGAGAGGGAAATGAACAATACGATTTGGGGACACGAGCAGACAAGACCGCACGGACAGACTGGGAGATAGAAACATGATCCTCAATGACCTACGTAATAGCGCATCATGTGTCCACCAACATCGATCAATTTCCGTCGCTTAAAGCTACTCAGACACCCCAAATCTACTGGTCATTGCAATAGATAGAGCACCGATCAGAAGCGACCAGATGAACATGTCTCCAGAGGCCATCCGAGGTCACGGAGCTGTAGGTGGGACAGGCGCCGGGCGGTGCAAACACCAACAAACCGCCGGCTATCCAGAGAGACCCGTGCCTTTGTACGCGGGCAGTCGTGACCACCCGTCTGCAGGCGAACTGACTCGCATGCTCCTGCCCGGCGCCCAAGTGCGAGGACGGGGAGCTCTCTGACCACGCCTCTCACAGCGCCGCACGTACAGCTGGCGCGTGAGCTACCACCATCCAGAGGCATGTGTCGCATTAGCTAACAGTACGGGATTGGTGCGCGCAACTGGGGACAGATGCTGGGGCGGGCGTCCCTGTCAGCTGGCGTGGGCTGGCTGCTGCCCTCGGCGCGCGAGCGACGCACCGCGTCACTCGCAGGTGACGTGCCGCGCCGGTCACGGCCCGACCGCAGCCTCCCGTAGCAGCTCGGTAACGATGCCACAGGGCACACCACGCTCCAAACGCGCCATGCGGCCGAGCACGCCGACAGGCGTGCTCGGCCGCATGGCCTGCGTCCGTCGGTGACATGGCCTGCGTCCGCCGACATGGCCTGCGTCCATCGGTGAGCCAGTGCTGCCATACACGAGACGCCCGCACACGCCCACAGGCCTGGCCGCGATACGGACGCGGCCACGATACGGACACGGTCAAGGTGCTATGCACGGTGCCAACACCGAATACGTGAGCGACGCTCCGAAGTCGCGGCAGACCTGCGCGGCCTGACGCGTGAAGTCGACTATGACGAGCGTTGAGCCCGAGTCTTCCTGACTCACACCTCTTGTACATGATATGGTCCCCCGTAAAGCCCCATATAGGCGCCTTCCGCCACGCTGCCTTGCGTTACAGCTCCACCACACACGGGGGACAGTCGGAGCCTGCGGTTGCACGCGCTCGACGGGTGCAGCCTGAGACAAAGGCCACCCAGACGGCGGACACGGACACACAGTCACGCGTTGACTATTGCAGAGGTCAAGGGGGCGCGCTATACCACTCCACCAGCTGAACGCTCGGGGTCACCCTGCCATGTTGCCGGCGGCCTGCAGACGGCTCCTGCTGGGCTGCCGGCCGCGGCGACGGCTCGGTGACAGGCCGAGCGCGGCCGGCCGCCGCCGACACAGACACCGGCCGGCGGCCGGCCATGCTGCGTGGAGGAGGGCTCGGTTGGTGAGTAACTGACCGGGAACACTTGACGCGCGCCGCCAATCGAACCGCACTGCATCACGTCTTGTTCGGACGCCGAAATGGGCGCAACGCGTCGTGAGGCACGCACTACAACCCCGGCAAAACAACTCCTGAAAAACAGCCCAACTTGTGAACAACAAAGCTATCTGCTACTCGGAACTACGCGACTAGACAGGGGACGCCGGCCCATCACAGTGGCACTGTATTTGGTGGAGCGTAATACTGAGATGGGTGCGGGCCCGGACCGGGGCCGGGAACGGGGCCCAGAGCGCAACAGCGCGGCGGGCGGCGCGCTCCGGCGCACGCCGCTCTGTGAGGCGCCTCTACCGCGGCGGCAGTGACGCAGCCGACGCGCCGTGCGCGCCTGGCCTTTTCCAACATCGGCTACTTCCTCCTGCAACGCGCAGGACATGTGTCACGGTCATGGCACGCTGTAACGTCCGAGCGTGGGTGGTGAGGGAGCAATGGCTGTGGGAAACACACCAGCCGTCACAACTGAAGTAGTTCAGCCACTCACTTGGAAAACGCGAACAGAGGTAGCGGGTTGGAAGGGGTGGGGATGGGGATGACGGTGGGGGCGGTAGTGGTGATGGTGGGGGCGGCGGTGGGGTGCCGGGGAGGGAGGGGTGCCACGCGACATCAGCTGTCGCCGCCCGACAGGTTGTCATTGAGATCAGGCCGTGATCAGCACTGAGCTCACCAATAGCGGCGCAGTGCTGGAGATAATCGATGAGCCGGCCCATTAGCTCCCCCCGCACGTCCCCGGTGGCCGGACCGCGTTGCACACGACGGTGTTTATTGTCCCGCAAGTCCCGCGAGGGCCCGCTGTGACGTCACAAACGACCCCAAACAATCGCGTGCCGACGACTGTCCACACAATAATCGGCGGTCATGTCTATGAATACTTCGTGTCAAGAGCCAATCGGCCCCAATGGTCTGAATACGTTCAACATTAGGCGAATAACCCAGCCCGGCGCGAATGCAAAGAGGAAAACTGAAGAGGAACAGGTGAGGCACGGGCCACTGTCGCCGAAACAGAGGTCGGACGGCGCCTCGACGAGGACACGGCACTACCGTGGATGGACGGCTGTTACAGAGGAGCGGAAGGACACTGCACTACCGTGGATGGACGGCTGTTACAGAGGAGCGGAAGGACACTGCGCTATCGTGGATGGACGGCTGTTACAGAGGAGCGGAAGGACACTGCACTACCGTGGATGGAGGGCTGTTACATAGGAGCGGAAGGACACTGCACTACCGTGGATGGACGGCTGTTACAGAGGAGCGGAAGGACACTGCACTGCCGTGGATGGACGGTTGTTACAGAAGAGCGCAAGGACACTGCACTACCGCGGATGGACGCCTGTTACTGAGGAGCGGAAGGACACTGCACTACCGTGGATGGACGGCTGTTACTGAGGAGCGGAAGGACACTGCACTACCGTGGATGGACGGCTTTTACTGAGGAGCGGAAGGACACAAGAGTACCATGGACAACGGATGCTTGAGAGGAGCGGAAGGACACTGCACTACCCGGGGCGGACGGCTATTAATGAGGAGCGGAAGGCCTCAACGCCCGGACGAGAAGCGGCAATCAATGGCGGAATCGGACCAGAGGTGCAGCACATCCGGCCGGCGCCGGCGGCGCGTGTTGACTAAAAGGACGTGCGAGTTACCTGTGGCGCGGCCGGCGAGTCCGGGACGTACGAGGATGGAAAAGGACGGAAGAAGACGCCGGCTATTAGCATCACTGGCACGGACAAACATTCATGGTAAATGGAAGAACATCCACAGAGAGAAGCACACGTGACAAATACCCCGAAAACAGATTGCAAGCAGGATATGCACGGAACGATATGGACGCCGGTTTGACTAGCGATACGTCGCATGTGCAGCGACGCGGGACAGTCTGGGATCAGCCAGGAACACGCCAGCGATGACTTGATAGCTTTTCCCAACGGTGGGAGAGCTCGCCTCACCGACAGACCACCGGTGCGGGAGAGCTTGCCCCATCGACAGACCACCAGTGGAAGAGCTCGCCCCACCGACAGACCATCAGTGGGAGAGCTCGCCCCACCGACAGACCATCAGTGGGAGAGCTCACCCCACTGACAGACCACCAGTGGGAGAGCTCGCCCCACCGACAGACCACCGGTAGGAGAGCTCGCTCCACCGACAGACCATCGGTGGGAGAGCCCGCCCCACCGACAGACCACCGGTGGGAGAGCTCGCTCCACTGACAGACCACCAGTGAGAGTGACACCACTCACCGCCAACGCGCGCGCGTCAGCGCCGACGGCAGGCTGCTGGTCTTGCCGGCGCCGAAGCTGGAGCGTAGCGGGATACGCGAGAGTGCCGGTGAGCCGCGGCCTTCTGGGCTGGCCGCACGGCTGCAGCCAGGACTCGATTGCGTGCTGCTCACGCCGCCCGAACTGGCCGCGTACGTGCTGAGCGGGCGGCGACCGGCAGCGCGGCGGCCCCCGCCCACCGACAGCCTTTCCTCCGAGCGCGACTTGGCCGTCAGCTCGGCCGGCGCGGCGCGACCGTGGGCGGCCGGCGGCCGAAGACGGCTGGCGCGCGCCACCGGCGGTACCTGCGCCTGTGCCGCCGAACAGTCCAGTTGACGCAGCTCGCTGGCTGCGATCCGGATGCCGGCGTCGATGTAGAACTCGTCGGCCGTCGGATCCAAGTTCTCCAGGCTGTGGACAGCGTGGCCGTGTTGGGCGAAGGCGTGCAATTCGGCGGGCGTGGCCGCCGGGTAGGACGCGCTGCGGTCGTAAGCTCGACCGGGCGGCGCGGCGGCGGCGGCGGCGGCGGCGGCGGCGGAGGTGGTGCGGGGCTGCAGCCGCGCCCGCATTGACCAGATGCCGGCCATGAGGACATGGTCAACGGAGGGCGCGGGCTGTCTGCCGCCGTCGCCTGCCGCCGCCAGCTGCGGCAGACGGGACGACAGCGGCGGCCAGGTAGCCGTGCCCAGACCACCGGCACACGACAACACGCGGCTCGTCTGGCGCTCCAAGAAGCGACCGACGCCGGACGCCACACGGCGGCCCACCGCCTCCGGCACGGGCTGCGACGGCCGGCAGCGACCCAGCAGCTGCCACAGCGGCTGCGGCAGCCGCCACCACGGCTCGTCGTCGGCGTGCGCGTGCTCTGGCCGCTCGGCCGACGCCAGTTCGGCCTCGGCCGGCTCCCTGCAACAGGCGCCCGCGCCCCGGCACCGTTAGTGGACAGGCGGAAGGCGGCGAACGGCACAGGCCGGCAGGTTAGTACCACAAGCGTCCCGAAGGGCGGCAGGCGTTTGTAAACATGGCTGCCTTCCCATACGACAGGCCGACACCAGAGCGGTTAGTGCCATACACCATATCACATCCACCCCATCACCCCGACAACGCAGCGTGGTCGTGGCAGAGGTGCAGACGTGTTATTACAGAAACACGCACCAACGCCCGATGTGCATTAGCGCAGCGATGAACAGTACCACCCCATGCATCAGCGGTAGGATGCTGGACAAAAGCCACCACAAGCAGACAGAAGACGCCGCGTTACCGCCAGCCCAGCCGACAAGATCAGCACAGCCACCCTGCCTTCACCCCGCATGCACCTGGTCCGGCCCAGCGAAGCCAGTCCCGGCAGCGAGCCGAGCCAGCTGGTGGCCTCAGCGGGCTGCCTTAAGTCGCCTAGCTAGGGCGCCGTCGTGTCCGGCAGCGTCCGCCGACCGTCCCGATCGGAAGTGTCCCACCGATCCAGCCTGAGCGGCCGACATGGGACAGGACTCGGCCGGCAAGAGGCAACAGCTGCCAGTCGGCCGAATGAGTCTCCAAGCAGGGCCTGCTGGCTGCAAGCCGCCTGCCGGCAGCTGCGCACCGAGATGCGCGAAGCAGGCCATAGCCCGAGCATAGAACGAAATTGCCAGCATCGAGGGCTGCCCAATCGGTGCCGGCCTGACTTTCTCAGCCCGCCACCTCCACGAACAGCACTCTACGGGCGGCGTGTGGCCGCGATACAGGTAGTCAGGCGTGCCTGACCGGACAGCCGCCATGACTCGAGGCTGGGCGAAGCGGCTACCGGCCGAACGCGGGCATGGCCGGGCCAGGCGGCTATGCTCATGGTAGTCGGCCATCGGGTGAGCCAGCCTGGCCGGGCCTCTTACTGGTTGACCGGCGGCCGCTCATTGCCGGCCATCAGCGTCCGACGGTGATACGCTGAACGCCGGCAGAGGTCGGCCGTGCGGGCGTGAGCCGTCCATCCTAATCTCCGAGCTCACTGGGGCCTGACAGCCAGAGGCGGCCCGGGACGCTCTCGCGAAGCCGTCCTGACAGCTAGAGGCGGGCCGGGACGCTCTCGAGCAGCCGTCCTGACAGCCAGAGGCGGGCCGGGACGCTGTTACGCAGCCGTCCTGACAGCTAGAAGCGGGTCGGGACGCTCTCGAGCAGCCGTCCTGACAGCCAGAGGCGGGCCGGGACGCTATTACGCAGCCGTCCTGACAGCTAGAAGCGGGTCGGGACGCTCTCGAGCAGCCGTCCTGACAGCCAGAGGCGGGCCGGGACGCTGTTACGCAGCCGTCCTGACAGCTAGAAGCGGGTCGGAACGCTCTCGAGCAGCCGTCCTGACAGCCAGAGGCGGGCCGGGACGCTGTTACGCAGCCGTCCTGACAGCGGCGCGCTAGCAATATGTGCGGTCGTGAGCGGCAGGCGCGCGTGGACTGACCACGTGGCCGGCCGCTGCCCTCCGTTCGCGGGCCGTTCGACAGCGGAGCGGCCTCCGCCCTCCGTTCGCGGGCCGTTCGACAGCGGAGCGGCCACCGCTCTCCGTTCGCGGGCCGTTCGTCAGCGGAACGGCCTCCGCCCTCCGTTCGCGGACCGTTCGACAGCGGAGCGGCCGCCACCCTCAGTTCGCGGGCTGTTCGTCGGTGGGCCAGCCGCCGCCCCCGACCCTAACGGCCCCGCCAGCAGCGGCTCTTTCACACGGCCGACGGCGCCAACTAACTGATATTACCTCATTCCCGCCGTTGTTTTCGGCCTCATGTTGCGCCAGCAATGGGAGGGCGTACCACACCTGCCAGTGTACGACACGGGCAGTCTGTCTTTGGCTTTACGTAATTACCTGCGGTATGGTACGTGCTGCGCAAACGAGCTGGTTTCTTCTAGTGGCCGCCAGCTTCGGCGGTTTCTCCATTACGCCAGCGTGGCAGGAGCGTGTTGATTAGATCCTATGCTGATTCAATAGTCCATGTTCTACAACGACATTTCAGAAGCGAATCCTTTGCAAGACTTTGCACTTAAATCAGTTTAGTTTAGGCCACAAGTTACGTGTCATGACGGAATGGACTGAGTAACCCAACATTCTTATATTTGCGTAGTCTTTACGTACGCATAATCCTTCCAGGGTGTGACGTCGCCCCATCTCGTGTGACTGGGGCTTTACGACGCACTAAGCTGCTGAGGCTATGTGACGTCACCTGTCGCTCACCCTGACAGGGAAGGCGGGTGTGGCGGAGAATCGAGCCCCGCTCCTCTGGGTTGCCCTCCTCCCCTCCCCCCCCCCCCCCCTCCACCTATCCCCAGGCCATCAGCCCGCCCACGTCACGCCATAAGCTGGCATGGTCTTCACGGTGATGGCGCTGCACTAGCGATCTTACAGTGCGGCTATGGCATTACCTCAATCACATGCCCACCGCTATGACATTGCTTCAATCACATGCCTACGCGCGGCACGTCGGGCGATTTTGCAGAACTAAGCTCAATTTTCTTGACTTTGAATGGCCCCAACTGTACAGCTGACCATGTCACTCATTTGGGTTCCCTTAACTTCGAGACCTGTTACGCAGTAACCTCCAACTCAGGCAATCCTCCCAGGGATCATCACCATCGACGACGACGTATGCACCAATCAACCGTACCCATTAGAAAAGGACGTATTTCATGCACAAAGTCCAGACTGTGCGTTGCCGCGCTGAGAATGGGGTGTGGGATATCCGATGGTGAACAGGCAAACCCTTGGCAACATGCATTATCACACTTTATGAACTACTTCCACGGCACAAGTGAAATTGAAAAAGTCGCTGATAACAGAAAACACACCGGAGTTGCTAACAAATGAACAATTCTACTGCTTTTGGTAGGTTGGCCCAAACGCTGGCATTACGGAGGGCATCACCTATCGGCAGCGTACGTACGTGCGTGCGTGCGTGCATGCGTGCGTGCGTGCGTGCGTGCGTGCGTGCGTGCGTGTGTGCGTGCGTGCGTGCATGCATGCGTGTCAGTTGTGAGCTCTTCGTGTGGCATCGTGCGTTACCTGGCAGCGTGACCCAGCCGACGCCGCTGGTTCTGGCCGCGAGTGGCGGACGGCGGCTGCGGCAGCTCGGGCTCTGCAAAAACACAGCCGTCACACCGGGGCCACAGACACCGCCGAAGGGTGACAGCCTCAGATACAGCCGACGGGTGACAGCCTCAGACACCGCCGACGGGTGACAGCCTCAGACACAGTAACCACAGACACCGCCGATGGGTGGCGGCCTCAGACACTGGCGACAGGTAAACGCCGCAGACTGTTTTCTCGCCGGTCGGCGTGATACATGGCACAGGCCAGGGCGACAGGTGACGCCCGCGCAGCGGCCTCAGAGCGCTGGGGGCGCACCCCCTGCATTCCGCCGGCTGCACGCACCGGTCTGACGCCGGAACACGGCGCCCGACGCCGCTGGACCAGCCCCCCGGGCACCCCAGCCGACCAGGGTCCCGGTCACTCCCCCGCCACCGTAGGTGGGCCAGCTCCCCGGCACCGCAGCCGGGCACAGTCCCGGCCGCCGCCGCCGGACCAGCCCCGGCACCCCAGCCGACCACGGTCCCGGCCACCGCCGCTGGACCAGCTCGGGCACCCTAGCTTACCACACTCCCGGCCGCTGCCCCGGAACGGCACGGACATAGCCAGCTTGGAACACGTGAAGATGAAACTGTGCTTAATTGGAGTGTTTGCTCGCTTGGCCTTGCTACACGGCTGCATCCATATACAAACACCGTCGAAGGTAAATGCGTTTATATGCAAACGTACACCACTCGTGACACGACGGTTTCAACGTTTTAGCGATCCGCCTAATTTATACGCGTCTATGATTGTGCGAGCGTCGATAGCCATACTTCTTTAGTCACACTCAGATACCTCACACATGCCGACCGACCATGCCAGCCCGGCGGCGGCTGGCCGAGGCCGCCCTGGCCGCCCGCCGCGGGACAGCGCCCTGACGGATGACGGGTGCAGCGAGCCGATCCAAAACACGCCGCGCGCCACACATGCATGGTTGATGGCAGCTCGTGCAGAACATGTGCAGACAGAGGATGAATGGGTCCCCGCTGACCTGACGGATGGCTGTTCAAAATTACACGATACGGAGCGTACCGGGACTCGTTAAGCGTCTATGGCTGCTAGAATAAGGTGCCACGCGAGGATTTAGTACGGCAAGTAAAGGTAAAGCACCATAGCGCGGCCCTGAACGACGGCAAAGTCTGTGCAGATTTCTTTGAAACAGCCATTACCGGCAAAACTTTGGCCGTAAATGTAAGAGCCGAGCCAACTTGGAGTGAAGCAGTCACCAAGGAGTGCAGCCGGGCGAGCCAGTACCAGCCGGCGAAGCTGCAGCAGTCACTAAGGAGCGAGTCAGCACCAGCCGGCGAAGCTGCAGCAAACAGCCACTGAGGAGCGAGCCAGTACCAGTCAGGTGCCGACGAAGCTGCAGCAGTCACTAAGGAGCGAGACAGTGCCAGGCAGGTGCCGGCGAAGCTGCAGCAGTCACTAAGGAGCGAGACAGTGCCAGTCAGGTGCAGGTGAAGCTGTTCCCAATGCAGTCTGCACTGGCCTGCTACTGGATGAGCTAGTGCCACACCGGTCAGGTTGTGTGGGAGCCGGTCCCGCGGTAGAGATTGCGACACCCGCCACAGGCCGCGCCACCATCAGAGCCAGGGCAGCACCGCCTCAAGGGCAAGGACAAGGACAAGGGCTCGCACATACGCCACGAATAAACTGCGTGTCCACTCGCGACTCCCGGCCATTTGAACGGTGCGGCCGGTCCCTGGGTTGAGTTTTTGCGCATCTAAGCTTGTGTTATAGATCTTTACAGTGCGCACGGCTAGACCAGAGCGAAAAGTGACATGTCATTGGGCTTTACGGCACACTCAGCAGCTGAGGCTACATAGCGACGCCTGCTTCTCGCCCTGGCAGGATGGGAGGACTCCAAGCGACTAAGTCAGCCGTATCTGGCAAATAGTCATATTCGGCACGGTTACTACGGTACCAGTTATTACAACACCGACCTTGAGTCATGAGTTGACCCTGTGCCAGCCCCGCTATGCAGCACAATATACGTCGCGTTCCAGTGGTAAAAGCACAGCTACCCACCCGACAAAACAGACGGGCAAGCGTGCAGCTACGACTTTTACAAGGGTGCGTCGCCATGGCACCGACCAGAAGGTGGTAAAAGCACAGTTACGCACCCGACAAAACAGGCGGCCAAGCGTGCAGCTACAACTTTTACGAGGTGCGTTGCCATGGCACCGACCGCAAGGTAATGGATAAATCGGGCTTTACAGCACCGCGGTAGCCGCCAAGCCATGAATATTTCTGTTCGTTTTTTGTCACAGTTCGAAGCGCACACCAATGCAGCGACTGATTTGATTGTGAGATGATCAGACCGGATTGTAGCGAGCCATCATCCTGCAGCCTCGCGATCGGGACAGAGAGCGCCAATCAGTCAGCCCACAGCCGAGCCCGCCAGCGAGGTGGCGGCTCACAATCAGCCCCAGATTGCCCGGCGGACAACTCTATCAGAGCGAACACACAGAGGAGCCGTCCCCAGACAAACTGTACACTCTCGTGACGACTGATTGGCCGCCAAGCTCCGAACCGAGCACGAAAGTGGCCCATCAGCGAGGTGCGGTCCGGGACGGAGCGGAGGACGAGCGTGACCCAGGCGGCCGCGCTGTATGGAGGCGGCCGGTCCGGGGCGGAACGGAGAACGAGCGTGGCCCGGGCGGTCACGCTGCCCGGCGGCGACCGGTCCGGGGAGCGCGGGGGAAGAGCGTGACCCAGGCGGCCGCTCTGTCAGGAGGCGGCCGGTCCGGGGCGGAACGGAGGACGAGCGTGACTCAGGCGGCCGCGCTGTCCGAAGGCGGCCGGTCCGGGGCGGAACGGAGGACGAGCGTGACTCAGGCGGCCGCGCTGTCCGGAGGCGGCCGGTCCGGGGCAGAGCGGGGGAAGAGCGTGACCACAGCGACCACGCTGTCCGAAGGCGGCCGGTCCGGGGCGGAACGGGGGACGAGCGTGACCACAGCGACCACGCTGTCAGGAGGCAGCCGGCCGTCGGCCCATGTCGCGCTGGCGCCAGCCGGCCGCCGCTTCTCAGAAGCCTGATGGACGGCCGGCGCCGCCCCGCCGCTCTCACGACATACGGCCCACACAGGGCACTCGTCAGCTAAGTAGATTGCCGGCGCTCGTGCAGTAAATCTGAGCACGTGGTCCCACTTCGTCAGATATGCTCGATGCGTGCAAGCTCGCTCCACAAATAACGACAACTCTCAACTCCGTGTTCAGCATCACGCACCGTCGCGGTCGTCAGTCTGGCTAAAAACACAGGTAGGCGGAGTGAGTCACACCGCAGTGCGTCACAGGTCACCCCGTGACGTCATGCGTCAGCCGGTGACGTCACGTCGGCGGTTACGTCCGCAGGGATCCGACCCCGTGTCCTCATTCGTCTAGGCAATCAGGGCCGGGTGCAGCCGCGCCGGATGCGGGACGGATGGTGTGGCGCGGCTCGGGCCGCGGCCGGCAGATCTAGCCGTCAGATGGCACGACGGCCGGAGCGCGAGCGACAGACGCGCCGAGCCGGGCTCAGCAGGCCACCGCTGACCACCGGCTCGACAGGCCACCGCCGAACCTGGCTCAGCAGGCCACCGGTGACCACCGGCTCGACAGGCCACCGCTGACCACCGGCTCGACAGGCCACCGCCGAACCTGGCTCAGCAGGCCACCGGTGACCACCGGCTCGACAGACCACCGCTGACCACCGGCCCAACAGGCCACCGCTGACCACCGGCTCGACAGGCCACCGCCGAACCCGGCTCAGCAGGCCACCGCCGATCCCCGGCTCAACAGGCCACCGCTGACCACCGGCCCAACAGGCCACCGCTGACCACCGGCTCGACAGGCCACCGCTGACCACCGGTTCAACAGGCCACTGCCGAACCCGCTCATCAGGCCACCGCCGATCCCCGCCTCAACAGGTCACCGCTGACCACCGGCTCGACAGGCCACCACCGAACCCGGCTCAGCAGGACACCGCTGACCACCGGCTCAACAGGCCACCGCCGATCCCCGGCTCAACAGGCCACCGCCGATCCCCGGCCCAACAGGCCACCGCTGACCACCGGCTCGACAGGCCACCGCCGATCCCCGGCTCAACAGGCCACCGCCGATCCCCGGCTCAACAGGCCACCGCCGATCCCCGCCTCAACAGGCCACCGCTGACCACCGGCTCGACAGGCCAGCGGCATCAGATGATGCGGCCATCGGGACTACGATACGCGTGAAGCGCATCATCCCATCATCCATAGGCCGAGCACATTATTATCCCGAGGCCGAGCACATTATAATGTCCAGAACTGTTGCCGCAGAATCTGTGGACGGCATTTTTTTGTAAATACAAAGCGTTGTGCGTTGTTGTTAATTTCTAGCCCGTTCCGTTTGCCAGGCTTCAAATATTCTCTGATTTTAAATTACCCTGTCCCTGTCCTAGGCGACATCGTCTGCCACCGGAAAATACATTGCTTTGCCGGTAGTGGTGCAGGAACTGGACTTTAATCACAGCTGTTGCTGGTCTCCTCCAGTCAGCTTCTAGTTAAACAGCTGCTATTGAAGTACTCCGCTGTGACGCCCTATCCGAGGACAAGGGATAGTGATTTCCCCGCCCCAAAAACTACACATTTCTTCGAGCACTGCTTAATGATCAATTGCGAACGACTGAAATCTACTTGAGCGTTTAGTATTGTCACATATAGAAGGCTGCAAGATGTTTGTAATCGCAAAATGTTTCCATAATGACTTACTTCCACTTGTGTTCGTCGCAGTTTACCAAGTGACTACCCGCTGATCGGGGGATTTTGTATCGTTTAACACGCGCCCGGGCGGCCGTTTGAATATCCTTCGCTCGGGTGGGGGCCAATTTAACCCCCTGAGATATCACAAACGAAGGCAACTAAAGGCACCAAATTCACAGGATACATTGACCTGTAGATGAAGTCACTTTTGTCAACATTTGAGGCTGCTCGGTCATGACGTTTGGGTCAGATAAGGTCAAACAAGGTCAAACTCAATACTAGTGTCTCAAGTGCCCTCAGACCACCTCATGTAACCACCGTGAAGGTAGATTCCTGTTCTAGGCAAAAGGTCAGCGAGGTAAGTGACCTCGTTTGACCTTTATAAGGTCAAGGTGACCAAATACCAAAAGACTGCGCCTACTCGTCATTCCTACAAGCATCAAGAATTACGCTAGGCGGTATGTTCCTCAAAGCAAAACGTTGACCTGGGTCATTTTAGGCCAGTGAACTACTCTGACCTTCAAAAACTTCATGGAACATGTCTGCCGCGGTCCCTGTAATTAACTCATTCTAAATGAGCACCAGAAACTACCCCATAACACCAAGTTCTCGAGTAAAAAAGCAGGTTAGTTTTGATCTTGTTCTGACTTTCATACATGAGCCTAGGTCAATGTCATCAGTTGTAATGTTTAATTCGATTGGTTTATTTCCTACGAACTATCTCAGAAATGTATGGCTTCGCCTAACACTTCATTGTTGCATCACATTGAACGATCTCTACAAATCCCCTTCCCTGACAGCCATGGTCTGACTTTGACCTGTCGTAGGTTAGCGAACTTACATGGTACATCTAATTCAAATCACACGAACTGCTGTGCAGTTCTCCGCAGGTACGCAAAGTTTGGCGCGGCTATGGCGCACCGTTCCGAAATCAATATGGGAAAGAAATCTTGAAATCTTGGGAAGGGGGAGGTAGTGTGCTCCGGCCCCACTCCCCCCTCCCCCCAAGCGCGTGTTAAGGCTTGTTATTCGGCTGCTATTGGAAGAATCGCGCGGCTCTCGGATTCAGCGGGGTACGGGCGGCTTTTCTGTATCGATAGGTCGTTACAACCTAATATATTAGAGGTGGGAATTCATGTTGAACCTTACGGAAGACAAGCGACGGATGTGACTAGAATTCAGTTGTTACCTTCGGGCCAGCGCCACGCTTTGCCAGGGTAATGGCGTATGGAATCTCAGCCGTTGCAAGATATACAACGCGACAATGAAATTTTAAACGCCATTCCAGCAAAGACTAGTACTTCACTCACGTCCTAAAATGATACAAAGAACGGTTCAAGGCAAAAACCCTCGAAGAATTTTGAAACGAAATTTATAATTGCACATGGCGAGTGTTAAGCTGGCCTACAGTGGGCTCGGAGTCGGCCTCTGCCCCAAGAGAAGCCTAGAGGCCGCCATCAGGGTCTCAGAGCCGGGCCAGTAGACGGGCGGGCCGGCAAGGCTGACCGTCCGGGCCGCTCACTCTACTGTCGTCACCGGCCGCTCTCCGGAGACGCGCCGGCGGCCGGCCGACAGGACGCGGCCATTACTGGCGACCGGCCGGCCGGGAAGCGCCTCGCGGCACGGCCCCGTGACGGCCGTCCGACGCCCAGGCGCCGGCGGTCCGGCCCGATCGATAGTGGACTGGCCCGGCTGGCTGGCTCACCCACACCCGATGCTGACGGAGGCGGCGTCACGCCGGGTCCAACAGCTTGACAGCCGCCCCCGCGGCACAACAGCGGAGTACCCCCCCCCCCCCCTTTCCCCACCCCGGCGTCGCCTCATGTCGGTGCGTCGGGTCAGAGCGCATCCTTCCACACCACCCGCATTCTGTGCTGCGCTGGGGTGTCATCAGAAGCGGAGCACGGCTCTTCCGGTCGCCGTCCCAAAACGTGCACCCCCGTGGGCAAAGTCACCACTTATATCGGCAGAGGCTTTCCACCACAAATGGCTTCCGGCAGTTGTAGGTGTCATGCCATCGCTGTCTAATGAAGAAGAATACTGACGCCAGACATCTGAAGGCGAGTTTGCACGAGCAGCAAGCCACAAATCCGTCTTGATCACGACAAATTAGCCTGTTCAAAATGTCTGTTTCCGAAGCGGACGCACTTTTGTGCACGGAGGAGAGGTTGTTATTTTCGAATCCCTGTAGACGCGTGGAGTTAAGTGGATAATGAAGAGGCACAGAGCGAGATGACAAATGAGCCACCACACACGTCGGGTCCCGCGTCCTGCGCTGGTGAGAGCTGACCGGCTGGCGGGTGCGCACTCACCAGAGAGTGTGTCTCGCATCCGCAGCCGCGCCAGGCTCGGAATACGACACTCGGACGGCTCGACCAGCGAGTGGCGACGGCCGGCGGCAGCGGCGGCGGCGGCGGCGCCGGCAGGCCGCGCTCGGCCCGTCGCAGTGGCCGCACCGACGCCCGACTGTGGACAGAACGGCGCCCCCGGGTCAGCGGCGGTACCAGCCCGTCACACAACACACCAGTCACCGGCGGACAGAACGGCGGCCCGGGTCAGCAGCGGCATCAGCCCGTCACACAACACACCAGTCACCGCTGCTGAGAACTGGACACGTCAGCTCATACACACGACCATCGACAGTGCTCCGAACTACGTCAGGACAGCCGCCTACATCGGCCCCTCAAACGGCCGGGCATACTGCGCGGACAAGCCACGCTGAAAGCGGTGCGAGGCACCAGCAGGTCAAGATCAACAAGTCCCCCCCCCGCAACAGGTGGAGGTTACAACGGCTGGTGGGTTTGCTGACGGGACGGAACGGCGGGTCACGCTACAGAGACCGTCAGCAGAGTACCGCCCCCGTCCACAGCACTTTCGAAGGCCGGGTCAACACCACCACCACAAGTCAGCCCCCACTGCACTGGGCCGCAGATCCGGAAGAGCATGCACACTGGGGTGCATAGATTTGGGTCTTTTCTTTTAAAAGTTCGCAAGGGGAGCGAACAACATGCGCGTGGTTTCGGAACTGACGTACGTACGTGGTTTCGCACAACGTCAACAACACACACGCATTTGCTAACCGCACCCAGCGATTATTCGAATCGCGACGTCATTTGGAGCATTACCTCTTGAAAGCCATTTTCACGATGTCACTTAACGTACTGCGACCAGGTAAAATAAACAATCGCGCATGCTGAGTCTCGATCCGCATTCTGACCGCGTCAAACGGGACAGCGACAACGGGACATTACGGACAGGGCAGAAAGCGATTGCCGTTGTTTCCAAGACGGCAGACTTGTCTCGACGGCGGTGAACAATGACGTCAGTTTCCAGAAGACGTCCACTGGGCCATGCAACAGCGGTACGAGCAACCAAAAATCAAGCCGCAATGCCGCGGTGCCAGTCTTTATTTTGCATACGTGGGAGTTCCAGTTCTGAAAGACCAAGTGCTAGAAGATCAAAGAAGATGTCTATTTCATCATAATCATGCACGATGCTTGTTCAACCATTAAAGGGTTGCTTAGAAGTCTGCCCCCGTACCAAGATAGCATGTCCTCTGAACAATGCAAGCACAGTCACACCCAATGGTGCGTACACGCGGCGCGCGACGCCCCATCGGCTGCCATTACATACAAGAGTCCAACGTAACTGACGGCGGGGTGTGGCAGTGCCGTAGTCAGCCTGACAAGTGGCAATGTAACACTTCCGGCCGTGTTCTACACATAATAACGGACAAACAGACTCGAGAGAGGCATCTGGGGAAGAAGCCGATCGCCGTCACCATGGCAACAGACCGCCAGCTTCGTGAAAGCGTTCGTGCTGCGCTTACTGGTACACTCTCTTTTGCTTTTTGTGCAACAGCGGAAGACGACAGACAGTAGGGAGTCACATCGGACACTTCGCTCCACGCTCGCCATGTCACCTTCCAATGTCCACTGGGTATAGACTCAGTAACGGGCACGGTACAGAATATTTGTCATCCAGGCTGCGATTACAAACGCCGCAGCCGCCTCCTCTCCGGGATCCTGGCGTGCGTGCGTGTGTCCGTGTGTGTCCTGGGACTTTTCGACGCGTTCAGCTACTGAGGTTACATGGCGTCGCCTGCCTCTCAACCTGGCAGGAAGGGCGGACACCGCAGGGAATCGAACCTGCACCCCTGGTTTCCCCCACTGGCAGCCTAAACACCATACCATTCGTCCTCCTGTGAGTGCCTGCGGCGCCTACAATGGGTTTTGCGTCAGACATTTTCAGTTGAACCCCCACTGCATAATCTTGCATATGCCCTTGAGGTCGGAAAATACGTCCATGCTACTTTGGCTGGTCTCACGAAATGAAGTATATAGCCATCTGGAAATGCCTGGACAACATTTCGTGTCCACAGCGTCATACAAAGAATTGTTCACTACCATAATGAGATAGGGATGTTTGAGATCCGCCCCTGCCAAGCTGACGACAGTCCTAAATCTCACCCGCGGATTCATCCGCTATTTCCGGACACTGAAGAAGTTCAGACACGAAACTTTGCCATTGGAAAGTAGTGGACTTACTCCCTACATTAACACAGGCTCAAATAGGATAAGGGGCGACACCGATGACCCCAACATCCCCTCCACCAGAGATGTGCGGTGGCCATGGTACATGTACTCAATTTGGGTAGAGTACGTGGGTCATATCATGATCCGTGCTTAGTATATAATGATTCACATATTCGTCTGCGTCTCCAGCATATGACAACAACCAATGCCGCATCCGCGCTTCAGACGGGGAGCCACGCATTAATCAACACGCACATCACGTACCGCGGCGGGAGCGAGACAGCATCGTTATGCCCGAGGCCGACGCCTGCTGTTTTCTAATGCCCGCAAAAAAGCAGCTGCAAACGGGTCTGAAGACCGCGACACCAGAATGAGTTCATCAAGAACGCCTGCCGGCAGTCTGACCCTGCCAGTCAGTCTGGCAGTCTGATCCATCTCACAGCTGCCGAGTGGCCATGTGGCAGTGATTATCGATTATGAAGTTAGTGTTTGTTATTTTTCAAACCCCTGGTGCTTTCATGAAGAAAACGCGAAAACAAATTTCCAATCTGCCCCAGTCAACACGTCGGAGGGCGGGGACGGCACGAGAACTGCGGCACGCCAGATAGGGCCGGAGTTTCACAAAATGACTTGGGAGGTGGCTGAACAGCGGAAAATAACGCAACCTTTCCCTAAAATACGCCATCAAATGAGTTCCCTTGATTTAGTCCAATTTCTTCTAAAAGCTGGGGGGGGGGGGCTAGAGCGCCAGTAGGGGAGTTGAGAGCTACAGCTCCCCCCTCCCCCTCGATTGGAAAGGAAACCACAGCCCTGACGCGCATACCCCGCGGGTACCGGCCACGCCAGTCACTATACGATCCTGTCGCACCGTCCTGATCCGGCACCCCCTGCCTCCTGGCGCACTTTAGTACCCGCAACCATCTGAGGGAGGACGGGGGGAGGGGGCGGGGGATAGGGGGCGACCTTGTGTAATTTGCTTATCAGGAAAATGTCTACGCTTTTCCAACAATTCTATTAAAAACCGTGGCATTAGAAAGAGCCTTTTCGAACGTAAAAAGCACAAAGCGACGGCCATATTGGCAGAGAACATTGCAAATATGCACGTTGGCGCCCTGGACCCACCGGCCGGGAAGTGTCACTCAGATGCACGCTCCGCGCCGGATATTTTCAGCAGACAGGATCACACAAAAGTTCCTACTGTGTCATGGACTACTACCAAACGCCCGCCCAATGCACAGTCATACTCTCGGGTCAGTCAGCAGATGCCCGTCGTGTTCATGGTGGGACTAAACAGAGCGCTCCTGGGGCTCGAAACTAGCGAATGTGGATAACACTCCCCCAGCTGTGCTATCCTCTAGCACAGGGAAAATAATACTTCAAGTCACAATTTTGGGCAAAGGCACAGCTGGCATTCAGAGCCCCACGCAACACAATTAGCACAACTCCATCCAAATCCGAGAAATGGCGGCGCTAGTTTTCCGTTTCATCTATCGCATTTTGTCGGAATACGGCACGGAATATCAAAATAAGTTTTGTTTTCGGCGACCAGTTATGCAAAACAAAAAAAGGTGACGATCGAGAAAGCGAGAGAGAGGAAAGCGAGAGCGAGATAACGGCGAGAAAGCAGCGGTGAGGCTGAGGACATATTCACAGCAACACGGAACATATGCCTTCGATGTCATTTATGAGAAGATTTTACGCGTCTCGGTTTTCGCAGGGAGCCCCACAAAGAGATCCTATGTGGCGTTACGGAGAAACTATGCGGGACGCGCAGGATGTATTCACGTTGCTTGATAGAACTGAGACGGAAATGGCGCAACGGGTTCATTTGCAAACATTTGCTCACAGGTCAGTTCCGCGTCCACGACCGAAGAGAAGTTTCACAAACATGCGTAATGCGTTACAAGCAACATAATTTGCAGTTTTCATTATAAGCCGCACACATGGTAAGTGCGGACAAAAAAAAAAGTGCCTCGCGAACGCAGTAACTGTCATGGAAATTCAGAAAACGGAAACAGAAGACGTTTCACATAGCGAACGCCTCCGACAGATTATACGTGACGCCACGCGCAAAGAAACATAATTGATGCGCTGCGAATACACCCGAAAAGATTGGGTACGCAAGTACAATGTTGACAGAAACACAGCAGGAATGTTGTTGACCTGCAGCACACTATCCCACGGTTGGAAGGGACGGCATCTTTCCATTCGACAATGACCGATCTCAGGTTGTCAGTGCCTTACTTGGTATCACTAATGGTTTACACGTCAGAAGAAAAAAGCGCGCGAGGCCCGCGGAGTCCACCGCGGACCAGGAAGCGGCGGCCGCCGGCAAGCTAACCGCATTTTCCGAGTGTCATCCCGCGGGAGGGCGACGGCCGCCCCATGCCGGCGCTGGCAGCCGGGCGGGAGGCGGGGAGGCGGGATGCGAGACGCGGGAGGCGGGAGGCGGGAGGTAGGGAGGCGAGGAGGCAGGCAGGCAGGCGAGCAGGTGGGCAAGCGGGCAGGCGGGCCGCATGGCCAGAGACGGCGAGACGGGTGCCGTCCGCCGGCCCTGCGCATAACAGCCGATTGAGCCGCCGAGCGGCACCCTCCAGCCGCATGTCGTCGGCCATAAGCCCTGTCCATGGTGTTATCACTTCCAGAGCGTTCGTAGTCCCTTTCAGACCCTTTCTGAACGAGCCTAGTCCTAGTGGTGCAAACATTTTTTTTTTGCAATGGTCTTGCACCATTAGTGCAAAAACTCCTACCGCCTGGAGTACTATCACAACTGGGCATTACTCCTACTCACATACTCATATACTCAAAGACGACACAGGCGCTACACGAGAAAAGTTATGCCTCAAAAAAACTTATACACGTAATTACTCTACTGAAAAACTTAGACAGCCTTTACCTTAGACATGCGCGAATGGAACATTTTGCAGGCTA